AAAACATTAATTTCACTTTAAAAAAAAAGACATGGACACTGTAGGCTACCATAGGATGCCTTTATGATATAGTTTATAAATACAATATTCTATTAAGGATGTAATTGCTAGAGACATTGCTCCATGTGGAGTTGTTTACAAGAAAAAAATGTCATGTCCTGCTCTGAGAGTTGCTTTGATGTTTGCTTACCGGAGTTTAAAACTGTAAAGGCAATTAAAGATTGGTCTTTCTACTTGAGGTCAATAGTTTAATGATTTTTGTCAAGTAAAGGAGTTTACTAGATTTCCTCTTTTTTTTTTTTTTTTTTTTTTTTTTTTTATTTACTGTTTTTTTTTTTTTTTTTTTTTTTTTTTAATAGACGGGATTTCACCGTGTTGGTCAGGCTGATCTTGAACTCCTGACCTCAGGTGATCCGCCCGCCTTGGCCTCCAAAGTGCTTGGATTACAGGCGTGAGCCACCATGCCTGGCTAGATTTCCTTTTATACTATCAGACAGCTTCTCATTTTTGATGTGACAGACTATGTAATTATTTTTCACAGTGGTCTATTATCTATGTATATATGTACACACATACGTATACACATACATATTTAGCCTATGACACTGCATTCACTGTGGAAGTGTACGAAAACCTACTTAAGATGCAAACATCAAAGAGGAAGAAGGAAAAGGAGTCCCCCTTTTGTGTAGCTGTCTGCAAAAGTTGCCTAAAGACCAATTGATCAATATACAAAAATCATCACAACTGTTAAAGGCTGCCAACATAATCTTTTAAAGCAAATGCAAAAGTAGATACTGGAAAATGTGGGTTACCAAAACATTCTTTACCTCTGGCTCCCCTCTCTATGCTGTCTCATATTCTTGCAAGTCTCATTGGGATGCTTGGTAAACACAGTTCACCTTTCTTTCTTCAGTTTCAGGGTAGAAAGGGTCCCTTTAACTCCTGAAGACAGTAAATCACAGTCTGTGTGGTGGTTCTCAGAAGACACTTAAAGGACTGAACTGGATGCTCTACATAGCACCCTTGCCAAAAGGTTTCGGAAATGACTTCCAGCTTCCCACAGTAATAAAATGGCACTGTTTGGCATCTTCGAGGTAATAAAAGTGAATTTTTTCCATTCTAGTAAATGAGAAGAGAGGCCTGGTTGTTTTAAAAACTGATTTAAATTCGTGTGTTTTCCTCACATTATAGAGCGTGATATGAGCACACTTAGGTGAACTTCAGACCACCTCAGAACATTACTATCTGCAGCTATCTGGGGCAGAACAGGATGTGCTGGCGGGTGGTGCAAGGGAGGCTGGAAGGATGGCCAGGTGCCCTGGACACTGCCGCCGTGGTACGATAGGTGGCGCTCTCCCCTCCGAGTCCGTGTGAACGATCTCGGAACGTGCTCTTCGGAGGGTATTACTTTGCTTGAAGGAAATGTCTTGGACGTTCATCAGAGTTTCTGGCACTGTTCAACAGCTACCGAGTCTCATAGCAGACTCTGGCTGTATTTTGGTGATGGAAAAAGCTTAGAAAACAGGTTTCCTGTCTTTAAGGAGGAGGCTCCTGTTAGGCATTATTGTCATTTGTATACAAGACTTTTTATAATTAGGTTTCACCCTCCTCCCAGTTGCAAAGGAAAATCTTTTGTCATTCCTATTTGACTCATGGGGTCTAGGAAGAAGTTTGATCATCTTCCATTTCCCATCTGGTTATTCATAAGACAGCTGCATCTCTGATTTCTCCTAGACTACACAAGGCTACCGACAACAAACGTTTTATAAAGGAAGGCCACCTTTGAGAAAAGGAACCTGGACTTTAAAAGTTGTCAACCAAACACACGAGATATAGCTTATTTCTTATTTCAACTGCACCAGAAGTGGAAATTATAACTCTTTTAAGTAGAAAAGACAAGACTGATATTTTTACATAGAATCCAACCCACATTTGTCTTTGTTTATATGCTGCAATTATAAGGCTATTATGAACAAATTAGTAGTATCACGGAAGAATTTTTAATGACTTGCTGATTTCAACTATTGCCAAATACCTTCATCTACTCATCATATTTTTAATTAAGAGACCCCGGTGTGTGTGTATTTATACAATCTTTTTGTTAAAATTACTCAATAGTGGCCTCAGTAGTTATAGACTAGTCCATTAATTTATTAAAGAGGTTCTAAAAATGATTACAAAATAAGCAGGATGTGGATACACCCAGCTTAACAATAGCGGGGAAGTGAGGGGTCCCTAACAAAAGATATGATAAGAGGAAAGGGAAGTATCACTGCAATTCATAATGATGGTTGGTAAAGAGTTGAGTACATGTTTTTAAGTCTGTGGCAGCTCGATTCAACAAAGAATTGCTGTAAATGCTAATGTCTTTTGCTCACAAGTCCTCCCTGTGACTATGACCCAAATCAGAGCATCTGACTTCAGTGGGTGACCATCTGTGATAAGAAGGAGAGTTATTCCTTCTGGGCTAGTCCTGAAATACTAATGTGAAGGCAGCGTTCTTGCACATAGTAGGAAATCAGTAAATACCTGCTAAATGGATGAAAAATGAACAAACATGTGAAAAAGAGTTTCTCCTTTTTCTTATTGCTAAAACAGAAGTAATGTTACTTTCAGCAAATATGTAAGGGTACAAACAGTTATATTCCTGATTTTTTAAAGTGTAATACATTTATCCCTAAATATAGAAACTGTACCATACATATACCCTGAACAACCTTCCTGCTAAAAAACAAAAAATATTAATGGCTAGCACATTCATCTCTACCTCTTACATTAACAGGGACTTGCTAAAGAGTTTATGGTTATACTTCAGCTTGTTCCCTGAATAGTACCTCCTCTGTCACTTTAAATTATCTGTTTATCTTCTGATATTCCAAATATTATTGAACACATGTAGACTAAATAATCAGTTTCCCTCGTCAACATGGTGAAACCCCGTCTCTACTAAAAATACAAAAATTAGCTGGGCATGGTGGCTCGTGCCTGTTGTCTCAGCTACTCGGGTGGCTGAGGCAGGAGAATTGCCTGAACCCAGGAGGCGGAGGTTGCGGTGAGCCAAGATCACGCCACTGCACTCCAGCCTGAGTAACAAGAGTGAAACTCCATCTCAAAAATAAAATTAAAAAAAAAAAAATCAGTTTCCTCTGAATATTCTTAGTGGTGATTTTCTGTTTTAACATTCACATTTTGCACCCAAATGGTATTTGTCTTCATATTGATAAAATTCCATTTATTCATTGATTTAATACACATATTGGTTGAATGCCTATCATGTATAAGATAACCTGCTAAATGTGGAAATTCACCAGAAAATAGTCAGCTTCTCTTTATTCCACAGAGTTCCCTAATACTGCTTGTTTTCTTTATTTTGGTCAGTAGTGCCAAGTAATCATATACAGTAGGTAAAATATTTAAGAGACTGGTACTGAAAGTTGTCCATTTTTAAGAAGCATCTGTGATTCTGTATGCAGTAAAACAGGTTCTGAAATTAATTCTCTTAGAATTAGGCTCAGTAGACCTGGCATAAATCCCAAGAATTTGCAGCATTTCTAACAAGTTTCCCAGGTAATTCTCAGGCACGGCGTTCTCAGAACATGCTTAAGAATTACTGCCTTAAGATTTAAAGAAAATTTTCTTTGCATGTCATGCTATATTCTACATACAAAAAGTATCCTCCTTTACTATAGTATTTTTCTATAAAGTATAATTTAAACTTTTCTGAATTACATTTTATAACAAAATCTGTTGTAACTCATGCAGAGTACTATACAATGTTTTATCCCTTTAAATGGCATCAGAATAAATGAAAAATGCTAAATGTGACTTTTTTTTAAACTCGCATTTTGATAAGAAACATACTTTAATTGCCATTATGTGATCCTAAATTGGTAAATCATTATAATGATCATTTATAATTTTGGTTCATTAACTTTACAAAACATTATTCAAAAGTTCCTGCAAGGTGCTTTTTCTTTAATATTTTATTTTATAATTTTTCCTTCAAAATATTTTATTAGATCACAATGAGTTTTCTGTATGACTTTAGGGAATATTAAGATATGTTTTCCTTCTTATATTAGTAATACTTTACTTCTACCTTTTTGAAATGGATTCTTTCTCTGTACAAATCCTTTCAGCTATATGGCATCATGTCATAGGTTGTCAACACAGTGACATTATTTAAGGTCAGGGTAGAGAGAAAATATATTACTAGGCTCTACTTGTTGTATTAGGGTCCACCTTTCTTTCACAGAAATGTTGGCTTGTTATTTCATAATTTGAGTTACAGACTCAGTTTTCTTGCTTCTAAGGTTGGTAGGTCATTTCTTTAACAAGATTTGATATATTTCTAATCTTTACTGATTTGAATACTATAACACTGTGATCTGGTGATTTTTAGAAAATATATCAGTAGTGCCCAAGCTGCATTAGGAGATTTCAGCTGATATCAAATTAACCCCAACTGCCACCTCCAGTCAAACGTGGTACCTTCGCATGACAATATCTCACCCACTTTTATTATATTTCCTCTTTTTGAAAAAAAAGGCATTATAAGAGGCTCACTTGAAAATAACTCATAATAATAGGCAATGGTGAAATGTTCGGTTTCACTGAGTGCTCTAACCACATTCACCTGAATAATCCAGCTCTCTAAAGGCTGAAACCTATTCTAGCTACTCTGAATACAGTGTCCAATGATAACTATCAATGTATGCTAGGGCTCATCAAATGGAATGAACCAGAATATCTGCCCACTCAAAACAAAAAAAGCCTAGATTTTCTTCGTAAAGTTTTAAAGGCTAAAAAAAATTGAAACATTATTTTAAAACATACACACTGCCACATGATAATATGCCCTTGAGCCTGGAAATTATTGTAATAAAATTTTATGGCAAAAACCATCCACTGTTTCTGTGGTGGCATTTTGGCCATGTATCAAATTAGATCTCCTATAAATCTTGAAACTGAGCAAACAGAAAAATAGCTTTCATAAAACACCTGTCTATATTAAGACTAAAAAAATGAATTTAAATAAAATTCCAAATCAAACTTTCTAACTTGTTAAGGTTGATCCATTAATATCTGATTTCCAATATGTAGCAATTGAACCAAATCCATGTTAAAATAGAATCTATACTTTGATCATTCCTTTTTACGTGAAATCATGATGATTTTGACACAATTCTCTATACTAAGGTATCCATTTCCTCACATGGAGTTCAAATAGATGCTACAAATAAATAAACAGTTGAAAGGGTTTTTCCACAACTGATGAGGAGGCTAAGAATCCAGAAATGCAATACACTAGAGTGGCAGCATACCAGGCAGCAGAACTAAACCTCAAAAGTAGATGAAGGAACATTCTATCAAGAACTGCAATACGAAAGGGTAAAGCAGAGCACATTTATACTTCTGGATTATTTCTTTATTCAAAAACCTTGTAGAGAAAGTCTTCTTTTAATTTTTTTATTATTTATTTATTTAGAGACAGGGTCTTGCTCTGTCATCCAGGCTGGAGTGCAGTGGCATGATCTCAGCTCACTACAACCACCGCCTCCTGGGTTCAAGCGATTCTCCTGCCTCAGCCTCCTTAGTGTCTGGGATTACAGGCACTCACCACCACACCCAGCTATTTTGTTGTCATTGTTGTTGTTTGTTTTTTGTTTTTAGTAGAGACAGGGTTTCACCATGTTGTCCAGGATGGTGTCAAACTCCTGACCTCAAGTAATCTGCCTGCCTTGGCTTCCCAAAGTACTGGGATTACAGGGATGAGCCTCGTGCCCAGCCATTCTTTATCTTTTTAAATGTCATAGTTGCCTAATTATAAATATTATGCAAATATCTACTGCCAAATAACAAATCCAAAATACCAAGCATCATCAAACTTTGGAAAATGCATAAATATCTCCAAGACAGTATTTTCAAATGATGCCTAGAGGTAAATACAAGTGCTTTTGTACTATGAGCAATGCTTCAAAAAATGGATCTTTAAATCAGAAAATGATTTGAGAAGTCTAACTCTGGCTTTGAGAATGACAAACGCTGCAGTGCAGGATGGGAGACCCACATAGTGGTTTTAGTCCATCTAAGCCCATCAGACTGAACACCTCTAGGTATGTTTCTCACCGTGAAAACATTTGGTCTAACTGCCTTCTCTGTGTTTTAGGAATATATTATTAGAAAAGAAAAACATTTTTGGCCTCCTGTAAGCAGTCAAGGGATTAGATATAATCATAACTAGGCAACAGTTGTCCAGCAAGCCTGTAATTGTAATGAAAGTTGATAATTTTGTCTTTTCCTTGCAAATCCTAATTTACAGATGTTAGGAGTTTAATCAAAAAAAAAGAAAGAAAATCAGAAAAAAATAGAGCCAACCTAACTTGTAATCTGCTTTCAATCCCTCACCAATAATACCAAAGTGAAAATAGATTATTGAACTAGGAAGGGATTTTGATAGGAAAAAAATGCCTTTAAAGCATTCTATTTGATAACATTAATAACACAGTTCTCATCACCATATTGGATACCATCCTTCCTCCAAATGACTTCAATCTCATTTGATCCGTCTCTTACACTTTAGTTTTCTGAAATGCTTGTCTTTAAGTAGTTTATCTATTCATCCATCTATCTAAATATCTACATCTATCTAAGTATCTTCTAAAACTAGAGGGAAAAAGCCTTACCAGAAAGCTCCCACACTAATGAAAGCAAATAGAAATTATAAGAAAATAAGTTTATCTTCCAGGTTTGAAACCAGGAGCACTCCTTCCCTTTGAATTGATTTCAGCTCAGCATGATTTTTCATATGTGTTCTGAGTTTTCTCAGGGTTCTTTTGATAATGAGTAAAGAGCATTGTTTTGTCCTTCAAAGTTGCAGAGTGATGTTAACACAAGGAGTTTTGATTTGAAAATCTTTATCTGGCATAATTATACATTCTACCCAGTCCTCTATTGACGGGAAGTAAACGGTTTCTCTCCTTCTGTTGCCGTGCTTAGGGTCTAAAGGCCAGATGGGTCCAGTAGCTAAAGCTACAAAAGCAGCTCTCCTAGGTCACTGGTGGGAAGTTCAATATTATTGCCTCCCTAATAGCAACTGCTTCCGTTTGAACTCAGGGTTATGAAAGATGAACTACATTAAATGGTAAATCATTAAATATCAGCTGAGTAAAAGCACTGTGGTGTGTTTCCCTGCTTAAATCACCAGCATCTGTCTTCTCACATGCAAAGAGCTGCTCTTGGCAATCATGCAGTGAAACCCTGACAAAGGGGTCAAGACTGAAACCACACAAAAAACCTCAAATAGCATCTTTTGGGTTTTCAGTTGGCAAGTAAATGATCATCAGCAAATATTCCACAGCAGAACTGAAGCTCAGCATTGCATTTAACACAGCTATAAACTATTTGGCAATGCACAATCCCTTTAGAGCCTCATTTTTTTCTCCTACTAGGTGTTTATTCTTCATGAAAAGAAAAACAACTGTTTAAATGATGTCCACCTAATACCTTAGATTTATGGCAAAGCCTACAATTTGCTGGTTTTCTTTTACTATTGATCCTCCTCTTACTTATGGGGATGTGAACATCATAACTGAAGATAAAGCTCCTACTGATTCAAAACTAAAATTGTACAATAATGGATGCCTAAGGTCATGTTTCAGGACTGTTACAAAAATTAAACCCTTTCATCGACTTGCATTAGACAGCAGAATAATCTCAAGTGGCAATTATAGCTATAAAATCCCACTCCCTACATGGCTTAGATTTATAGTGGAATACTCAGAACTGTAAGCAGTTACCATGAGACAATGGCCTTTCTTTATCTTTATGCT